GCAAGGGGCAGGAGAGGCGGGAGAGGGTGTCGGCAGAAGGAGCGGAGCGGGCGCAGGCAGCTGTCAGCGCGGAGAGAGAGAGAGAGAGAGAGGGAGAGAGGGAGAGAGAGGGAGGGAGGGAGAGAGAGAGAGAGAGAGAGAGAGAGAGAGAGAGAGAGAGGGAGAGAGAGAGAGAGAGAGAGAGAGAGAGAGAGAGGGGCGAGGGGCCGCGACTCTGCGGCGCGCCAGCAGGTCGACGTAAAAGGTGTACTCGAAGCTAGCCGCCGGCACAACCGCGGTCCCGTTGGCCGCGGACGCTCGGCGCGCCTCTGCGCCGCCCGAAGCGCCAGCGGCTGGGCCTGCTCCCGCGCCGAGCACGCCTGCAGGAAGGTGCCGGGAAGGGTCTCGGAAGGGTGCGTGCCTTTGGCGTCCTCCTGCCGAGCTGCTCTCGCCAAGCTTGTGTGGCTACATCTCGGCTATTCTCGCCCGGCTTGTGTGGCCGGCTCTCGATCTTGGAGAGGTTGATGTCTCGCACCGCGAAGACGGACATCGCCTTGAATAGGACGCCCGCCTGCTCTCGCCCGCGAAGCTGTGACGAGGCGTGTGACGAGGCGCTCTTCACGCCGCTGCAGCCGTGGAGAGGGCAGGTCTTGCGTTCACACCTCGTCGCGGTGCGGTGTGAAGACGACGGACGTCTTGGCGGCGAAGCCGAGAAGCGCGCCCGGAGGCGGCGCTGCGCGCCTCGTCGCGGTGCGGTGTGAAGACGACGGACGTCTTGGCGGCGAAGCCGAGAAGCGCGCCCGGAGGCGGCGCGGCGCGCGAGAGGATGAGGAAGCGCGTGAAGTTGTTCGGGTCGTCCTCGATCCCGTAGTCCAGCACCTCGAGGCCGTGCACCTGCCATCAGAAGCGGCGGGCGCCCGTCCGAGCGGCGGCGGCGGACGGGCGGCGGCGGCGGACGGGCGGGCGCAAGAGAGCTGGCGCCGGCAAGAGCAGCGCAGTCCAAGTGTTGCAGTCCGAGTGTTGCAGTCAGAGTGCAGGTGCAGGCAGAGCGCAGTGGTGAGTAGGAGATACAGTGGCGGCGGCGGCGGCGGCGGCGGCGGCGGCGGCGGCGGCGGCGGCGGCAGCAGCGGCGGCGACAGAGAGAGCTAGAGCGCGCTGGCACGCCTTGGCCGCGTGGATGGAAGCGATCGCGGCGGTGTCGCGCAGCCCTTGCTGCACCACCAGCTCTGCTGACCCGGCGGTGTCGTACCCGACGAGGGGCGCGATTCCCGCCGTGCGCAGGTACGACTCTGTCTGTGCAAGCGCCTGCGGGTGGCTCATCGCCTTCTTGATGTCGTTGAGCTGCACACCGGGCAGCGCGAGGAGCGTGTGGCGCACGCGGAGGGTGTACTCGCCCAGGATGTGCACGGCGCCGTGGAAGCGAAGCAGCAGATCATAGTTGACGTGGATGGAGCCGCCGAGCGTGTTTTCGACCGGGAGAACTGCGTAGTCTATCGCGCCCTTTGAGAGCGCCACGAAGACGTCCTCGAAAGTGTGGAAGCCGCGAGCTTGTATCTCGTCCACGCCGGCTGCGGCGAAGGCCTCGATGGACGCAGACTCACTGTACGCGCCGGGCACGCCCTGGAAGCCGACCGTGGGCTGCGACATGAGCTCCGATATCGAGCTTTTTCTTTTTCTGAGTTCCATCTGTTGCGTGTCGTCTTCATCTGTCTCGCGTCCACCCATACCGCGTTGGTGTCCAGTCCGAGCCTGGCTGTTCTTCACCTTCCTACCTAACCTAACCTGTTGAGGTTCAGCGTCGTAGGCCGACCCGGCGTATACGCGGGCCGTGTTAATCGCTGGGTTTTGGGCTATCCGGGACCATCCTGCTTCTCGAAGGCCCGGTCAACGCCGATTTGCTCTGCCCCGCCTGCACGACCCCGCCCCCCAGCGCCCCCCCGCCAAGCGCCTCCGCACCCGCCCCTGCGGCTCGTTCTGCGACGAACACGGCACGGGCCACCTGCGACGAGTGTGTGTGGTGCTGGTGGCGAGTGGATTCACTTGTGAATTCCTTTCACCTCTGTGCCGCCGTTCCCCCTCACCCTCCTATGGGGTGCGTTTTCCTTTCTCTAAAGGCGCCGGACCTCACGTTATAAAGCTGTACACGCAGCGACCCCAGGTGGGCCCACAGCCTCATCGCTCAGACATCCTCCGCCTCGACCTTCTCGACGAGCTCGTCCTCGCTCTCGGTGGCGCTGCCGTCGGTCAGGGTGAAGCGCGGCTGCAAATGGGCGCAGCGTCGACCGGTCAGAGACGCACGGCGTCGTGTGGGTGGGGCGGGGTGGTCACGAGGCGGTGTGTCTGTCTGCTGCCATTTGTCTGCGAGCGGCGCCTCTTCCTCTCCCTTCTCTTTTGGATCGTCAAGCTCCGGCACGTCCACCTATAGAATTGAAGCGGGGCGCAAGAGCAGTCACGCCGGACACCCGCCGGTGTCCTTGGAGTGGGTCATCACGCCTGTGACACGCTGCGGTATTCGCTCTTGCGCACTCGCGCAACGCAAGAGCAGAGCGCGCAAAAGATGCAGACCACGACGGCGACGAGGACCAGCACTGCGGCCAGGGGCTCCGACACCATCGACAGTGGCCATGGTGGCGGCGAGGCCCGCGAGAGGAACGCGGGGCAAACGCCCAGCAGGCGTCCGACGCTGCACCCAGCAGTGCCTGTCATAGAAGGCGAGGTGAGGAAGCAGGGAGGGCCAGGTCACGCCCCGGTCCCAAGCAGTGTGGTAGCAGTCTGCGGACTAATCGGCTACACGCCTGCTGCACCGCTGTCTCCCTGAACCCAGCCCGATCCTTGCCCTAAGTTGCCATTCCGCAGGCTGGCTAGAGCCCTTGCCGGAATCTCAGCCCGAGGGTGAAGCGGCGGCGGGAAGGGAGACGGCGACGGCGGAGGCGGCGGTGGCGGGGGAGGAGGTGAGGGTGGAGGAGGGCTCGATAGAAACGGAGCAGGTGGACGCGGCAACGGCGGCGGGTGCGATTGCGCAGCGCCCATATATGGTTGTAGATGACTGATGAGGCGTGTGCAATACGGTTTATTGAGGGTCGAGTTCGCGTCCGGCCGGCAAGTTTTGTGCAGATTCGGAAAGAATTTAAACAAAACAACTCTCGCTCACAGCACACAGGCTCGACACAGGTTTCAGAAAATCTAGAGTTAAGCTGAAACCCGGTACACGGAGCCCTCTCGGAGACCCGTGTTTACTTTACGGCCCTTTCCCTGCGAACGCGCACCCCCGGGGCTAGGGCTCTCTAGCCCGTAACCCGATACCGATCATCCGGCCCGCTGCCGGCGCTGGGTGCGCTTCTCAGCTCCCCGGCCCTGGATGGATGTGAGGTTAATGACTGCACTCCAAGTGCTCCAAGTGCTTTCGGAAAGAATTCAAAAAAGACTCTCACAGGAAAGAAATTTACAGACAACGCTCTCTCACAGCAGACAGGCTCGACACATTACACAAAATTCTCTCTCACAGAAGACTCGATCGATACTGTGCCGTACTAAAGTCTGTGCAGCTGTGAACAGCAGCTCCTGAGCACGGCGCCGCAGGCGCCTGTTGATAGGTCCAGGTGATAGCCCTGGATGGGCAATGCATACGCCTAGTTGGACCTCAGATCGCCCGACCGCGTCCCGGTGCTCTGCCGTCGGATTTGTGACGCCGCCGCACCGCGCCGCGGCCGGGGGCCCTCCGGAGGCCGAGGATGGCCGTGGCGGACCAGGACGAGCTCTGGGAGGTGAAGTGTCAGTGAGTATATTGTAGAGACCAACCATATACACAATATCTCTCAGTCTAGCTAAGCCAGGGGAGGCGATGCCGGGGCCGTACAGCAGCTTGATGGTGCTTCGCCGGCGTGCGTCCCGGAGCGGTGCCGGACGGGCGGTCGGGAGGAAAACGAGGGACAGCGCCGACGGCGCTCTGATTCGACTTTTAACTTCAAACAAAGACAGTGGCACGCGTCGCAGCGCGGTGCATGCCACTGTCAGGAGCGGATCCGTCAGTTAGTCGTGTTCACGCCGGGATCGTGTCCCTCACAAGCTGCACAGACTTTCGTACGGCACAGTACAGGCGCGGACTGGCACGTGCTTGCTGGTACTAGCACATCTCTCTCCTTGTGCTCTCGAAGCGCCATGCACGCACCCACACCAGTACGTACACTTTGCGTGCATTTCTTCATTTCATATTGTCGCCGGGCGGGTGCGGAGTCCGAGAGCGGCGGGAAGAACCTCGGCCGGATTGTCGAGCGTGTTTGCTGCCCGCGTGTGGTACTCCTCACACTTTCACTTACGCCAATTTTCCTCGGCTTTTCTTGAGCTTGGCTACGAACCGCGTCGCCTTGACCGTTTGGTTGAGCAGTGGGCTGAAGGCGGCGCGGGCGGCGACATTGTCGGGACGGTCGTGCGCCATCGCCATCGTGAGGTTGGAGGCGGACTTGGACGCCATCCTGACCAGCGAGGGCCGGACGAGGCCGGCGCGCAGCGTCCGGATGCCGTTGACGACGGCGACGATGGCTGCGAGGAGCGCGATCACGTTGAAGAGGGAGAAGAGGACGAGGCTGACAGCGACCATCCAGCCCGCAATCGACCCGTGCGACGCAAAGATGGTCGGCGTAAGCCGAATGCATGTCGGGAAGAAGAAGAGGACGCGAGTGTACAGCATGAAGGCAATGGCAATTGCTGAGAGCGCGATGTTGACCTTGGCGACCCATCCGGTGCCGCCGAGGTCGCCGAGCGCCATCAGCGGAAGGTTGGCAAAGCCCGGGACCGCCGCACCGAGGAGCAGCGCGCAGAGGAGCTGCACGTCCGGATTGGACGCGAGGTAGAGGTGCGCAACCGACCCGGCGAGGAGCCCGAGCGAATGGTGGCAAATGATCAGAGACCAGATGGGCTTCGCCATGTCGCAGATGGGCTTTGTACCTGGAGGCGAGAGGTAGGCGTGCGCGATCTGCAAGCAGTGCTGCACGCCCTCGCCAATCTCAAAGCTGAGACCCACACGGAAGAGGGATGAGTCAACCTTGATGTACGAGGCGACGAGGCATAGCGTTCCGATCGAATGGTGGATGAGAGCGACGTAATTGAAGCAGTACCCAGTCACAGCCTTGGCCACCGTATCTGGAGCTACGAAACCAGCCTCCTCATACTGCCTCTTCACGTTGAGGTAGATGTTCTTCTGGCCGTTGGGCACTCGCTTGATGTACGCATTTATCCCGACGACGATGGGTGAGAAGGACTGTGAGAGGAAGAACGCAGACAAAGAAATGCGTGCCCCCGGCGCCGTCTGCTCTGCGTGCATCTGCTCTGCGTGCAGATCGGCGGGCGCTCCGGAAGTCCTACGACCCATCCCATGAAGCGCCCGCCCGGCGCCCCTAGCACGGCGGTCCGCACCTCGCGCGCTTCGCCCGTGCCGCGGTCCGCAACACCGGAGCTACCGCTCCCATCGTCGCTCGCATCCCTCACCGACCTCAGCGCCACCCACATCCGCGACTTTGCGGGAAGCCTCGCGCGGCGCGTAGGGCTCGTGCTCGGCGGACCAGACGCCGACGCTTGCTGGCGCATCCTCGAGGACAACCCCGCCGCAGTAGAGTCTGCGCTAGAGGAGGCATTCGAGGAGGCGCTCGAAGCTGCGCGCGACAGCGGCGGCGGCAGCGAGGCTGTACTACCCCCCCATCTCCGCTCGCGTCCGGTCGGCACGGAGTGGCGGTCTTCGCTGCGCGCTCGCGCCAGGGCCCTCGGCGCGCTGGCCGCTCGCCCGCACGCCGAGAGTGCAGACCCTCTGCGCCGTTGGGACGCCGCGCCCTTTCTGAGCCGCGAGCGCTTGGAATTGGACGCGCTCGACGCGCTGGTCCAGGTGCTGGCGGACTGCGAGGGCGTGCCGGCGAGAGCGCAGGAGCGCGCGGGATTTCTCAACAAGCACTGGTGCTCCATCTGCTACGTGGAGGCGGTGCGGCCGGCGACGGCCGAGGAGATTGCCGCGGGCGTGCCGACCGTTGAGTTTGTCTTCCGATCGCCCTGCTTCCACGACATCTGCGTAGATTGTGCTCTCCGCGATGCGGTGGAGCACGGTGGCGACGCTATGCGGCTGGAGCACCTGGATCTCAAGTGCCCCATCTGCCGCGAGCCAGTCAGCTGGCCGTGGTCTAGGAGCGAGCCCCACGTGGCTGACTCGCTCAACCGAGGGCTGGGGCCCTCGCTGCTGCAGAGCAGCACCTACCGCCTTCCCGACGAGCGCCTGCTCGAGCTCATCACGCCCGAGCGCGTGCGAGAGACGAACCCGGTGATGCCCTTCCAATCTGACCCTCCCCAGCACTTATCCGCCCACCTCCACCCCCCTCCTCGCGCCTCTGTTGTGTGCGCAGGGCGGGAGGCTGCCCCTCCACGCCGCCGTCGGTGCGACCGACTCCGAGGCGGTGATTCGCCGGCTCGTCGAGATGCACCCCACGGCTGCTAGCTGGCAGACCGTGGTGCGTTCGTCCGCGGGGCTCGGCCCGCTGGCTGGTGCAGACCGTGACGCTATATCTCGCACCCTCACCCCTTTCAGGCCGGGGAGCTCCCGCTCCACGTGGCCGCGGGGTGCACGTCGTCCCCCTATATCATACGCGCGCTCGTCGACGCCTATCCAGACGGCGTCC